TCCCATTCCAGACCCCATAAATTTCAGCTGGAAACCTGAAAACTTCGATTTTCCAACCTGTATGGGTTGGAAATTCCACTCACTGTCACAATCAAGGCATCTCCTGAGGTCACAGCGGCCGCTGGAAGCTGCATCTCCATTAATAAGGGGAATATTCAGCATTAAGATTTGCTGAGCAGGATTCCCAGGGGGATTATTTCAGCTGGGGGGGGGATGAATGAGCCCACTCCACCCCCCCCAGGATATTTCTCTGGGGGTTGGGGGGACTATAAGCTCTGCCAATCCTTGCTGCTTGGTTCCTACCCCTCCATATCATGGTTAATCTGTCACAGCAACTGACGAGAGACTCCAGCACCTCAACGTTGAATAAAACAAAACTTTTAATAATGTACAGCAGAAATCGACAGCCTGGTTTGTTTTTTTTTATATTAAACAAAAAGATATCCTATATTACATCGTATTTACAGTTTGCATACTGAAGAGGTAAAGTGTCTAAGTGGCTATTTTACAGTCCGTTTCTAATAAAATATACAAAACCCAAACAAATGAAAAAATAAAGGGGCAGATTGAAGTACCAAGAGATCTGTTCTGAAACCAGCGTACCACTGAGGAACCCTGCACCACGTACCTCTGCCTCTCCCCATCATCTCCCCCTCCAACAGCTGACATCTCCCCTTCTCATTTTAGTTGTGGCTGCTCCTCCCTGGAAGTGTTTGTGGCCAGGTTGGATGAGGCTTTGAGCAACCTGGTCTAGTGGAAGGTGTCCCTGCTGCTGGCAGGGGGGTTGGGACTGGATGAGCTTGAAGATCCCTCCCAACCCAAACCAGTTTGGGATTCTATGATCATTTTGAGCTGCTGGGTTGCCCTCTTGTCCTGAACTATTTGTCACATCATGTTTTTGTACATTTTTTTCTGCAGCCACCTCGGAGTTGGGCACGTTTCGGAGCCCGGCAGCGATTCCTATGTTTGCTGTCAGCTCAGTAAGCACTGCACCTCCCTGCATGAAAAGTGCTGGATAAATGCTACATAGTCAGCGTTCCCCACCTCAGATCCTCCTGGGGTTTGACCATCTCATGATGGTAGCTCTCTCCACAAACAAGGTTTCTCCTGCAACCCTGTTGATAGGGGAGATCCCCCATCATCCTGCCCTCACCTGATCCCTGTCTGCTGTTTGGTTTAGCGCTGAGGCAGATGCATGTGTGGCTACAGTTGGAAAGGTGGGTGAGTCAGTGCGAGTTACAGAGCTGATTTAAGGTCCTGGAGAAGCAGCCTGCAGAGTTAACGAGGACAAGGAGACTCGTGCTCCCAAGTAAGAGCTGGCAGAGGTGAGGGAGGAGCGCGTGGCAGACGTACCTACCGGCGTGATGGGCTTTCCTACGGCAGTTTTTATTTCACAGTCGCTATTTTCTCCCCCAACCCACCAGGATGGGTCATCACCAGGGTCCTGTTAGAGCAGTTGAAGAGTCTTTTAGAATATCTGTGAAGTGCCCACCACCTCGGTTTCTAAATGCAGAAGGGTTTTTGGTGAAGGTAGGAGAGACAGATGGTGACCTCTGGCCTGAGACAGGAGTCAGAACAAATCGGGAAGGGAAGCTGCACATTCACAAAGCAAACACTCCACGCTGCTCCCATCAACCAACCCCGAGTCTGCAGCCTCTCCCACCACAGCTCTACACCCCACGAGTTCCACGGGAGGATGGAAAATGGTTCCAAAACACGAGGCAAAAAATACACGCTCCTCACTTTACACAAAGTCACAAGACGAGATAAGGAGTCTGGGGGAAGACAGACACACGGACAGATACACAGACAGCAAGAACAGAGTGTTTTTTAGGAGAAAAAAGAAACCTCAACAAATCACAATAATTAACTCCAGTGGCTGGAGCAGAGATGAAACCTCACCTTACAGAGCAGGAGCAAGGTTTGAGTAGAAACAGTTCCAGTGTAAATCGAGCTGTGTGCATTTCATTTTGTTTGTTTTTTTTTTTCCTTTTTTTTTTTTTTTGCAGTGATTTCTTTACAAACAAACAGGTCAAGAGGTAATAATTCTAGATTGTTTTTGTTTTTTTTCTTTTCTTCTCTTAGAAAGAATTAACAATATTAAAAAAAGTTAAAATCCAGACCCTCCCATAAAATAATAATAATAATAATTAAAAAAAAAAATTAATTAAAATAATCAAAACCACTCCAGTTAAAAGTTATGGCTTCAGAGTTATAAACCATAGATACTGACCTACCCACCAAACCACCAGCGCTTCCGATCGCCGGGGAACGACAGACTCAGCCTTCAGCTAATTCCATTTTCACTAGACCCAGCTGGAGACAACAGTCAAACCTCACCCTGATTCAGCATTTCATCAAAAAGAAAAAATTCATGCAGTTTCCCCCCCCTCCCATTAACCCCCCCTGAAGTTATACACAGCCACTTCCAGGTTATGAGATATTTATATTATGTATATTAAAAAGATGGGATATTTGATTTCCAAACCCACACACCTGATGTCAGATCCTGCTGAGTGTTTCTTGGGTGGGGGGATACAGAGCACCCCCAAGCACCCGGCTCAGACCCCCATCAGTCTGCCCCACGCTGCTGAGCATTCCTGGATGTGGGATTTGGGAATTGTGATCCTATGAGAACAATCTCCTGCCTTTCCCCATGACCTGGTCTCCTCCCAGCCGGGCTCAGCGCCTGCTCTAGATCTCTGACGTACATCTCAGCTCCGTGGCATCTCTTCCCCCACTTGCCCCCAAGGTCTCTCTTTTTACCCTACCAAGAATTACAAACCCCAGGGGCTGAAGACCAAAAAAAAAAAAGCCTGGATTCCAGGAGTGAAGTCAGTTCTTTGTTTTGTTTTTTTCTTTAAAAAATAAAATAAAAGGGAAGGGGTGGCAGTGAGGCAACTTGATGGGCAACAGGCGTACGGACAAGCAAAGGCCACAGCACCCATCAAAGAGCTAAGGATCTGGTTTTTAAGCAGCCTGTCCAAGCTAGACAACGCTCAACTACTCAACAAGGAGAGCACCAAGGCGCCACAGCTCAAAAAAAAATAATCATTAAAAAATATTAAAATTAAAATTAAAGATAAAAGGACACTCTAGATTTGCACATGCACAGAAAGCACGGAACAGAGATGAGCCACCCTACCACGGGCAGACACGGCACGTCTACGGAAAGAGATGAAGAGGCACAGGGAACACGCGCACCGTGCTCATGCAAACACCACTGACAGCCAGTCAGATTTCTGGTTTTGACTTAGAATTTTTCAAGCTGAAGAAGAAGAAAAAAAAAAAAAAAAAAAGAAAAGAAAACAAGAAAAAAGAAGAAAAAGAAAAAAAGGAGGGAAATGGTTTCGTGAAGCTGATCAAACTGCTCAGGCTCAGCCTCTCGGAAGGGAGCACCATTTGTTTTGTAAATGCTTTTATCTGCATTAACGTGCCAGTCCTTGGAAAGAAAAATTCAAATCCTCAAAGAGTACGGCATGAAAAACCTTCCCTTTTCCCTTCCCACTCCCAGCACCTGACACCCCCGGCCTCAAAAACCACTGCCAAGGGGTGAGCGGCGCGCGCTGAACTTTACAGGGATTTCCGTTAAAGGAACAAAGAGTTACAATCATGGCTGAGATCCCTCAGGTTTAAGTCCCTCTCAAGTCTTCACGCTGTCAGGAGGTGATCATAAAAAAGGTTTCTGATTGTTTCATACCCAAGCAGGGATGAGAGCAATTCAAGAAGCTCCCGTCACCCCACCTAGCAGCCTGCAGGTCACGCTGTCTGGTTGGTAGCAGTAGATTGGGCAGAAACACGAGGTAGGCCTCCCATCACACGTCTAACTCTAGCACGGCAGCTTTTGTGCAGTTTCCTCCTGCTGGGACTCAAAAGCTTAAATTTTCACATCTTCCTGGACACTGAGCTGTGAGAGGGTTTTCTTAATGCGGAGGGCGGTGAGGCGAGCCGCTCCGTTGGCGTACCAGCACTCTCGCATCATCTTACCCATCACCCGTAGTGCCTAGGCAAGAAATAACGGTGGACATCAGTCATCTCCTCTCCCCCAACCTCATGTTGATCTGTCAGGTTGCTGCTGGCTGGTTGAACACATGATTGGACCTCTTCACACCTCGTAAAATTGGTAGTTAACACTTTACTCACCTTATGGAGGGGGAAGGGGATGTGAAGGTGGAAGCGGATCTTACCTCGTAGCTTTGCCACCAGTTGGGGATATTAGGTCGCAATTTCTGATCACACACGACCTTCCGCATCTCCTCAATAGAAGGATCAGAGGGTACCAGGTCATAGTAGGGAAGCTGATACTCTTCATGGATACCTGAAAGGCAGAGAAAAGGGACACTGAGCTCCTGGGAGAATGGATCATCACCATGGTGCTCACTGAAGGCAGACTGACACTGGTCTGGACACTCTGTGATTCACTGCTGAGATGTATCAACACTTTGCAGTTATTTAGAAGAAAAATGATGAATCTGGGATTTGAGTTTACAAGAAAAATTCAAGGAAATAAAATGCAGCTGTCCAAACTGGAATGGAGTCAAAGTGCTGTGATCAACATCTCCCAGCAGAGAGGCAGGGTCATCAAATCTCGACTGAGCCGAAAGCGGCAGGACCGTCACACGCACGACATGCTGAGCTCCTGCCTCCAGCCATGAAACTCACTGATCACAGACTGGTTTGGGTTGGAAGGGACCTTAAAGCTCATGCAGTTCCACCCCCCCTGCCAGCAGCAGGGACACCTTCCACTAGACCAGGTTGCTCAAAGCCTCATCTAACCTGGCCGAGAACACTTCCAGGGAGGAGCAGCCACAGCTTCTCTGGCCAACCTGGGACACTGTCTCACCACCCTCACACCAAACAACTTCTTCCTCACATCTCAGCTCCATCTCCCCTCTGCCAGTTTCAAGCCATCACCCCTTGTTCTGTCACTCCCTGCCCTTGGCCAAAGTCCCTCCCCAGCCTTCCTGGAGCCCCTTCAGGTACTGGGAGGCCACTATAAGATCTCCCCGGAGCCTTCTCTTCTCCAGGCTGAACAGCCCCAACTCTCTCAGCCTGTCCTCACAGCAGAGCTGCTCCAGCCCTCGCATCATCCTGGTGGCCTCCTCTGGACTTGTTCTAACAGGTCCATTGATCTTGTTTCAGGGAAGAAAGTCACCCACCAAATCAGCTTCCTTAAAATCCATCCAGAAGAACATCAGCCACCAGGTAGAGCATCAACCCCCATCTCCCCACATTGGGTCAGTCTTAACAGCAACCCCAACACTCCCTCAACAGCAACACACATGGACGTATCCTCCTGCAGCCCTTGTTCTCCAGGGTTCCCCTCAAACATCACAAACACCTGATCAACAGAAACCACTTGAGGTTGGGAAACCCAGGAACAAGCTGAGCTGATGGCACGGGCACACGAAGGGTATTACCTCCTGCGTTGCACCTTCGAGCAATCTCCCAGTAGACCAAGCCCAAGGCATAGATATCAGCACATTTAAATGAATCAAAATGCTTCATGTTAATGGTTTCATCCAAGACTTCAGGGGCCATGTATCTGCAGGACAGAAAAGGAACAGCGTGCTAATTTTTGAGAGGGGATTTTCTGGAAGATAGTAAATGCCAAGTTTTCCCACACAGCACTTCCCAGCAGATAAAACTCTGCTCTGCACAGCCTTCATCAGGACAGAACTGGGCCCTGTGGTTTAACAGAGTGAAAAAAAAACAACTCAAGAGGAAGAGCAAGTTGGGAAAGAGGTAAAAATATTCAAAAACACATCAGGTTCCAGAGAGCAAGCCCCAAAAGGCTTTGGAGAACGCCAAGCTTGCTGGCAAGTATTATATGAGCTCCTTGGTGCTGAGTTTGGGTAGATGGTGGACACCTCTCAGCCTGAGGGCACGTGGAGATGAAGGTACTGATGTCCCTTCATCATCACAACGGTGACACTCTGCGAGACACTTGGAAATGCTTCAGACAGAGAATTTCACCAGCTCTCAACCAGCAGCTCAGGTGTTTACTAGTCACACTCTGACACCTTCAAACGCTGGCCAAGAACACTGTTCTCCTACCGTTTGGTTCCAACCCTTTGATTTGGTGCAATATCAATCGTATCCGTAACCGAATCATGTCGTACAGCCAGACCCAGGTCAGCGATGGCACACGTGCCATTCTTCTTCACCAAGATGTTCTTGGATTTCAAATCTCTGTGAGCAATCCCAGGCTTTCCTAATAGAACAAAATAAAAAGTAGCAAGGGGTCAAGGTCTGGTGAAATCTATGAGTCAAACTGGCGCGGAGGCAGGACCGGATTTCAGGGCGTTAGTTAAATTCTCAGTGTTGCAAGACATTTTCCTGTTTGGATCCACTTCAGCCCTGAAGAACAGAGTGGTGCTGACAACCTACAACATGCCAAAGAGGCCCTGCTGATGCAGTAACATCCAGAGACCTCAAGAGGGACATAAACTCCATCGTCCCAGGCATCAGACACCTTGATGGACAGAAAGCTCATCCAGTCCCAACCCCCCTGCCAGCAGCAGGGACACCTTCCACTAGACCAGGTTGCTCAAAGCCTCATCCAACCTGGCTGAGAACACTTCCAGGGAGGAGCAGCCACAGCTTCTCTGGCCAACCTGGGACACTGTCTCACCACCCTCACACCAAAGAATTTCTTCCCAATACTCAATCTAAACCTCCCCTCTCCCAGTTCAAACCCATTTCCCGGACAGAAGGAGTTTATAATTCTGCTGTTGCCTGTGCTAATGGTGCACCCAAGAAGCACTGATTTTAGGATGGAGATGTGAAACAGCTGATGTTGATATGTGATGTTATATATATATCAGTTATATATCAGCTAATGCTGATATAACTCCCAGGAGCTAGCACGAGGCTGACCTGCTTTGCAATTTTATTAATTATAAATAATTTTAGAATTATAAATTAATTTTATTACTTTAACAATAATTTTATTTTTAATTAATTAAATGATAATTTTACCATTATAAATCAATTTTATTAATTATAAATAACCTGCTTTTCCAAGGCTAACCTGCTTTTGCCAGCCAAAGCAATCAGTCCATTTCTGATCAATATTGACTAGATAAATCTGGGCTGACTCAGCCAATGTTTTCTGTCCCCCTCATCAATTCTGCTTTATTCTTCCCTCAAGAATTCCAAACACCTTTTCCAACTTTGCTCTTACCCTGAGTACCCACAATCTCCATGTGTAGATGGGCCAGCCCACTAGCAGCAGACAGGGCAAGCTTGATCATCCCCTCGATAGTCACCGTGTATCGATTCAGGTAGTCAAAGAGAGATCCGTGCTCGTGGTAATCGGAGACGAGCCACAGCTGAGTCCAAGTTCCATTATCTGCAGCAGGAAAGAGATTTGTGTTCAAGACAGAGCAGGCAGGGATGGGCACACAACCATGGAGCATTGTGCACCCTGTGTTTTTTGGTACAGAAGAAAGCTGCTGGGTAAGGCTGCAGCTCAACAGCCCAACCTGGGTGGGGAGAATAAGGTGAAGAACTTGAAGGCAAAACATGACTTGGTGAGATCCAGTTAATGCACCATCACACCTG